GGCGGCTTCGCCCCATGCGCACCACGGCAAACGCCGTAACCCCTGGCCGGAGGACTTCCCCGGAGGTCACGGGCGGATGCGCACCCTGGGGGTGGCGCTCACCATCCACTGGCTTCTCCGGAGGCGCGGTCCTGGTGAGGGCTGCTGCCCTTTTCCTGGCGCTGATTTTCCGGTGGCGCTGATCGTGCTCACTCCGCGTGTCACCATCCAGGAGTACGAGTCGTGTCCCGATCGTGGCCGTGTGGGGTTCCGGTGTTTCACCGTGGCACGGCCTTGTGTGGCTGCTGCTCGTGGTGTGCCTGGTGCGCCTGTTGTCCGGAAGGATCGTCCCCCGGTACTTCCCTCCCAGAACGGACCGGTGGGGTGTGCCATGTGGCTCACCGAGACGCTCATGCAGCGCAGCGCGATCTCCCCTACCACGATCTACGCCCTCGTGCATCCCCCGTGGGTCATGCGGCTCTGCTCGGTGCCAGGTGGGGCGCAACGTGGAGATCCCACCGCGGGACCCTCCCGCACCTCACCACGCCTGAAGGCGGCTCGTTCCTCGCCGACCACGCCCTGGTGACGCCCACCGCGCGGCTTCGGCTGGTTGCACATCGGCACGTCCGTGAATCGGTGAGGCGCCACTTTTCGTGTGTGGCAAACTCCGGGATCGTGGGACGCTGACCGGGACACTTCTGCCCCGCGACGCACTGGTGGCCGTGCTCAGCTCCGCACCCACCCGCGGGCGCACCTTCCGTTCCTCTCCGTGGCTGGTCCGCGCTTGCTGCGGCCGATCGCGCGCGCCCAAGACGTAGGCGGATGCCGAGTCCACGTTTCCAGGTCCGCAGTGCGGCGGCTTCAAGGCGGCGCCGGCGTTCGTGGAGCTCTTTCCCTCCTGCCCGCCATGGTCTAGTCGGCGTTGGGCTGGACGGGTGCGCGTGTACGTGCTCCGGACATCTCCATGTCCCGAACGGGATGGGGTGGAGCGTTTTGATCGCCCGCCTTCTCGCCTGCGGTCCGGTGTGGCTGCTCACCCTGCCACACCCGGTGGCGTGCCTGGTTCTCGGTTTGCTCTGAAGTGGGCCCTGAATGGGTCGCTGCCGCGAGAGCGAGCGCCCGCTGTTCAGCTCCTTCGTGTGGCGCAACGAGCTCACGGACGTTGTTTCGCCGAGTCCCCTGGCCGTCCCTCCATGATCCGCCTGAGCGTGGGCCTTCGCCCCTGTTCAACGTGTGGGACCGGCTGATGGGATCGCACATCGGCCGCGGCGTGTGGTGCGAGCCCTGGTTGCTGCCCGATCGACCTGGTGCGCCTCGAGGACAACGTGTCCGTCAACGCGCGGCCGGTCCTGCAGACCCCCCTGTTCCACGACGATCATGCGCTGGAGCCCGTGACCATGCGGCGGGGCCTCCACACGGGGCCCAACAGCTTCGTGCTGCCTGGCGCCACGATCGAGGATCGCACCACCTTGGCACGGGAATCCCTGGTCATGCGCCAGGAGACCGTCCCGTCGGCCGGCAACTTTGGCGGCAACCCCAATCCTCCACCAAAAGACGATGGGGAAAATAGAATAATGTCTCACCTGGGACCAGTGGTCAGCGCGCAGTGCTGCCCACCGCGGCCCCCCGCCACGACTCGCCGGTGGATCCCACGCCGCGGCGTCGGACCCGAGACCATCACGCAGCACAGCACGGGGTCCACCGCCACGGACCCGAACCGACCGCGCTCCCCGCCGGGGACCGCGGACGCGGTGAGCACAAGGGAGCACCGAATGACGCAGCAGAGCAGAACGAGAACGTGGCCGAGGGGGGGATCTGCCTCCAGGGCCAGTCTGGCCCCAGCAGGACCCAGCCCGACACGCGCGAGGTGTGGCTCGGGGACCGCGGGGGACCGAGGGCCGCAACCGCCGCGGAGAGCGGAACTGGGCCCCTCGGACACACACGGTGCGTCACCGCACCCCCGAGGTCACCTCCAGCCCCGAGCCAGGGGGCGGCCACGAAACGTGTCCAGCGCAGGAACGGGCGCCGCACCACGCGGGCATCATGGGTGTGGAAGTGGCCCGGGGGCTTCGCCTGGCGGGGCATTGATCGCGGTGCACGTGCTGGCCGCGGTAGCGGAAGTGGAGGGCAATCCATCCCTGGAGTGGCGGCTGTTAGCGGGGGCAATCCGCGGCACTGTGTCGGACATCGCGGGGTGAGCCTGAATTTCATGACCGGGGGGGGCGCAAACCCGCGGCGTGGCCGGGAAGGCGCGCGGGCAAGGGTGTCCATCCTGGTGCGCGCAACTGGTTGCTGTTCCTCATCGGGCTGAGCATCAAAATGCTGGAGCATGCGGTTACAAACATCCTCACTATACATACGTGGCCTGATGTTCCTGGTGGCCATTACCGTTACGCTGCTGAGCGTGCGGTGGCTGCTGGTGTCCTCGGCGGTATCGCAGTTGGTGATTCGCCCTTCGTGATGCGTGGTTCCCTGTTCCGTCCTGCCCGCGGAGTGTACGGCAACCCAGGGTCGCCGAGCTGCTCACAGATCCGTGGGGCGTCCCGTACTGGATCGAAGATGTTCCTCACGGGCAACGTACACAAGCACTGCCGGTGGATGACCAGTTCATCTGACTGGGCTGGCCACTGGGCACGGCATGAGATGTCCGGGAACGGGTTGCAGGATGGTGCTCGTGAATCGTGGGCGCTGTTGTCGCGGCCAGCGGTAGTGGGATCTCCATGCTGGATGATCATGCGCTCTCGAGCTGGAGAACGCCCTTGCCCCTGATCGAGGCCCACTCAGTGGAGACCTCTGACGGACGTGTGGAAATCCAGGTCTACGGTCGGAACCCCAGCTGCGGAAACGTCCTACATGTGGTTGCTGCCTCCGGGCCGTCAAACCAATAACCCACGGTTCCGCGCTGCGGAGAGCGCCTGTCTGGCATGGTGGCCCTCGCGCGTTCCTGCTGCTGTGGCCGCGTGATTCGCAAGTGCTGACCTGGCTGGGCGCCATTGGCTCGATGACCCTCACGCTCTACGTGAGGCCACCTGGTGAGGCTGCGTCGTGTGGACGGACACCACGCCCTGTTTCTGGTTCATCGTGGGCAGGGTGGTCGTCGCCGCGCTGTTGCGGTGGCCTGCAGCAGGGCCGTTGGCACGGTCCGCTCGATCGCCTGGTCACCAGGGTGTCCAAGGGAAGCTGCCCGCCTCGGGTCCGTGCCGGCCCTAGAAGGCGCCCCCGCGGCTGTCGGCGCAGACGCCCCGGCGGTAGCCGTCCCCGCAGCCGAATTGCAGACGACCCTCAGCCACCGGGCGGGGTCCCGTCCCTGCCACGCCACGGCCCAGCCGGGCGTTTCTCCGCGCAGAGCCGTGGTGCGCACAGCACGAGCATCGCTCACGGTCCCCCGTTCCGTATCGGCGGCTCGCCTCCGGCACATGCTTATTCCTCTCTGTGTCCACTCTACCTCCCGTTTCTCGCGCAAACCCTGGGGTCAGGCGTGCCCACTCATCTCCTTTTCCACACTCACCATCCTTTCCTTTTCCCTCCCCGCTCCCTCCTCGCCCTCTCAGCCGTCGCGAGCCGCTTTTTTTCCCTGTCTGCGGGTGCAGGACGTCGAGCAGCACACCCGCCTACCAACGTCGCTCTGGATCCGTTTTCCAACGTCCACGCCCCACGCGGCGCTGACCGTGACGAGCGCAGACCACCACGCCGCGGTGTCGCGACACGGAGAGTTGACGGGCTTCACGGGCGCCCACACGGAGCCGGTGGACGCTTGCCGTCGGGGGCCGGGAGGGCGTCGTCGTCCGCGCTGAGACGACGCCGCGCCCGTCCGTGAACCGGACGCGGCGCGCCGGTTGCGTGGGTCGTTGGGTCCCGGCACCTCGTGGGGGGGGGGGCCGGCAGCCCAGGCGGTGCGGCGAGGTACGTGGCGCAGCGCCACCCGTGACACCGTGAACAGTTTCGCGGGCGCCGGGCCTCCTGGACGGTCTCCGCCCGCGCGAGCTCGAGCTCGCTCAGACAAACCCTAGACGCCGAGAAGGCCCAGGGGGCGAACGTAACTCCTCGAGGGGCAGCCAACGTGCAGGGTGAGGTCCCGCGAGCTCCGGGGACCCTGCGTCGGTGGTCCCCCACACCGGCTGCAGCAGAGTGGTGGTTCCCCGCGTTCAACTCGTGCCCCGTCAGTCTGAGCAGGGCCCGGTGCAGCAGCTCGGGTGCTCGATCAGGGGCCGTGTTGGCCACCGGGTACGGTGAGCGTGGTGCACTCCGCTTCCGTGCTCCGGCCCATCCGTCCAGGACGCGCCGAGGCCGTGCGGGTCCTGTCTCTGCGCACAAACTCAGCAGCAGCGGGGTGCGCCAGCCGCGGTGGAGCGGCGTCGTGGGACACGCGATGCAGCAGATCCGCGCGCAGCTGGGCGAGGACCATTGCCCCAGATCAGGGTCGCGCAGCGCTCCCTCCGGGTCCTGGTTGCCCTCGAAGCTCCTGATCCACGCGGCCAGGGCGGGCGTCGTCCTCCAGAACGGCACGAGGTCGGGATCAGGGATCCGTGGGAACGCCTCTTGGCGGAGAGCACCACCCGCCGCAGCCGGCCCGGGGACGCTCCGCTGTCCACTGCCGCGGCGACATCCCGCGGCGAGCAGAGCCCCTCCGAAGAGTGGCCCAGGACGGTGTGGGCACTCGTCGGCGTCGAGCACGGGCAGCACTCAGCTTCGAGCGCCTCGCCACCCCCGGTGCGCACGTCCACGGGCGTGGGATCCGCCTCTGACTCTCGCCCTCGGGCGGGCGGTGGACGAGGACCCCTCCGTGCCGGGGCCTGGAAGACCCGCCGGCAGGCCCCCCCGCGCCGGCGTGGGGGACGACTACGCAGACGCGCGGGCGGGGGCGGCGTCGCCGGTGAACCACGCGCCAGGGCCGTGGGGGGGGAGGGGTGGTGGCCACGTCCCGGGGGACCTCTGAATCCGTGGGGGGTGGGTGCCGCCGCGTGACCACCCCGGTGCGGCGGGGGCTGTCCGGCCGGGGGAGCAGCGGTGCGGGCGGCGCGTCAGAGACGTCTCGACGGGGAGGCGGACGCGGACCCGCGGTGAGGGTGGGGGCAGGTGGTCTGGCGAGGGTGGTGAGGGGGGGTGGTGTGCTGGGTTGGGGGTGCCGTGGAAATCGGATGGAGCTGTGACTGCCGGGGTGGTGGGGAGCGGTACGTTGTGGTGGTATGCTGTGGTGGGAAGGGGACCGCGCGCGGGGAAGTTGTAGGATCGAGGCAACCAAGAGGCCCTGCACGCTCCCGCGGTGGCCGTGGGCGTGACACCACGAGTACCCAACCGGGCACGCCGACCGTACGGGGAACCGGGATGCGGGCCCCGGCGCCGGGCCCCTGGAACGGCCCCGCCGGCGGAGGCGCGGTCGGGAAGGTGCGGACCAGAGCGGAGAGGACATCTCAGGGCGGCAAGAAGAAGCACTCCGGCACCGGCCACCCCCGGCCCCCCGGGCCCCGTGGAGGCGCGCGGGGGAATCCCGTTCGAGAGGGGAGCTGACCCTAAGAGCACAGACCGCCGCGGCGGAGTCCGTCGGGGACGAGAGGAGGGCACAGGCCCGGGGGGAATTGCCCCCGGAAAAAAGCCGTATTCAAGACCCTGGGTGGTTTGGCCCTGGACCACGGTGGCTTCGGAGGGTAGGCGTGGATGCACGTTCTCCGGCGGGCGGACCTCAGGCGGTCGCCGCAGTCGCTTGGGCGCAGAAGGCGCACCTCGCCGACCCAGGGGACGTGCAGCGGGCTGAGAAGGATACGGGTGCTAGGAGAGGAGGGGGTGTGTGAGAGCGGGCGGGGAGTTGGGGCTGAGCCCACTCGGGCAGCGCACCACGCTCACCACGGTCGTAGGACGAGAGCGCACGTCGTCAGGAGCGCCGTGTACGGTTCCGGAGCGGCCCGCGGCGTGGTTTCGTGTGGGGCTCGGCGCCGGAGGACATCGTGCGGGCCCCGGGGGCGGGCCGTGTTCGCGCCGAGTGGGGCGGCCAGAACCCGGGGTAGGGGTAGGAGAAGTCGAGCGTCCTCGGGCGCCGCGATCGCCGCGGCCGGGTGATGCTCAGGCCACGCACGCAACCGTCCCGCGAACGGCCGGCCGGTCGCTGTAGCGAGGTCGGACGGCCTTGGCACCGTCTCAGGAGTCGAATTTAAAGTTTCGAATACCTGGGGAAGGTGAGCCATCATGACGGCTGCTGGACGCGGTGGGATCGAGAGACGCCACGAGGCACGTGGGAGGCGGTCCCCGTGATCGCGGAACCCTCGTGGACGCGAGGCCCGAGGGGTGCGGGAGGAGCGGGGGAGGGCAGTGTGGCCGGATGCCACGGGGGATTTCTCGGTGCACTGAGACTCCTCCGGACATCCGTGTGAGTGTGTTTTTACCGTGGCCGCGGTCCAGCGCGTGCTGCAGCCCGTGATTCCACTGGTACGAAACGCGTTTATTGTGAACTGGTTGGGATCTGCGGACTCGCGTCCCGCGCAGAGGAGCCCCACCAGTGCGGTGGAACGGAGGAGCGGATGGCGGGGGTCCCGCCGTGGAGGCCGGCGCGCGTGGGCGCCC